TCACTATGCATCTTCTACACGCTTTTATCATGGGGAGTGTTCAGAGGGAGTTGTTCGGATTAATACCACAAATGCAGCGTATGTGAGGGGTTGTGTGTGTGTGTGTGTGTGTGTGTGTGTGTGTGTGTGGTGAGGTATGTGTGAGTGTGTGTATGTGAGTGTTGTGTTGTGTGTGGGCAGGCCACGCCTGAGAACATATGTGAAAATTATTTTAATATATCTAGCAGGTTTTCCGTTTGATCATAGTTCAAATTAAGTAAAAATTTATGAACTATTTGCTTTACACATTTTTTAGTTTTAGGATATATATTTAGAGTTTTGTTAAGTTTATTATACAAGTAACAGCCCAGAAAAGAGAACGATCGCTGAGAAAAATTAGAATAAAATGGGGTTGTACAAACGCTATATTTGCGACGTTTGTCCAATACAGCGGTGTCGAAGAATAACAGCGAATGTTGCTTAAGAACAGTGAATAAGATAAACAGCTGTCGAACTGTAAGTACAGAACTGATTTTATTAAGTTCTGCAGTAGGGAACCGAAAGGGAAGAGACAATGAGGTTTTAGGAACTGCTCGTTGGGCTCGCTCAAGTTTCAGGATTGAGGTTTTATAGGTGCCTCCCCATACCACTACACAGTAAATTAGCAGTGATTGGCAAAGGACTCGTACACCATTCTAATTGGAGTGGAGTCTGCAACCCCGCAGGCTCCTGAATACATACAAACGTCCCGAAAGAAATTATTCAATGTGACCATTAAAGCTAAGATTGTGGTCTATAAGTTCGCCAAGGTACATTATTGTGCTAACATTTTGCAGCCGAGGGCAGTCGCACGAACCATCCAATCTTCGCGGACGGGTGCAGCAATGAGTCACGATTGTCCACTGATGTTGTAGGTGGCACCCTCGTTTTGTGAATGCCATGTATTTAGTTTTGTCTGCATTCAGCGTTAAGACGTTGTCGCCAAGCCAATCAATCACACTATCCAAGCCAGATTGAGCGTGAGCGAAAACCTCCCCCCAAGTCAGTGCATTAAACAATAAAGCCGTGTGACGTGTCATCCGCAAAGGTAACGATGGATCCATTGGTTAACTGTAGGTTGCATAGCTGATTAATATACACTAAAAACAGGGTAGGACCCAATACGCTACCCTGCGGAACACCGTATCGAACAGGAAGGTCCTCGCTCACACTATCCCCAATCTTTGTGGCCTGGGTTCTGTTGCTCAAATAGTCACCGAATAGTCTCAATTGGGCCCCTCTCACACCAATGTGCTCAAGTTTATTTATTAGAATTTCGATAGAGACCGTGTCAAAAGCCTTAGCTAGGTCCAAAAATATAGCTATACACTTCATGCCCCCTTCTAGGTTCCTAATAACGTAGTCGGTGAGGGCATGAACCGCATCCCCGGTGGATCTCCCAGAGCGAAAACCGTACTGGGAAGTAGATAGAAGGTTATTCACCTCTAGGAATTTTATAAGCCTGTTATTCATTAATTTTTCCAAAACCTTAAGACATAGCAGGTAGCATGGATATCGGTCTATAACTTTTGACACGGTCCCTAGCCAGACCTCCTTTATGAACTGGTATTATTAAGGCTTGTTTAAAAGCAGATGGAAAAGTACCATTGCTGAGAGCCAAATTACATATATGTGGGAGAGGGGGCACAATAATTGATTTATACGACCTTAGGATCTTAGCGCCAATACCGTCACGTCCTGTAGCATCGCTCTTGAGGGCTATAACGTGTTTTTCCACCTCACACTCATCAGTGGCTAACAATACTAGAGAATTATGACTAGTATTACCTCCAAAACTGCATTCAACAACAGTAGAACAGTTCTTTTGTATTATATTTTCCGCCAGATTCTTGCCAACTCCCACGAAAAATTTATTGATACCATTGACTGCTGCCAAATTATTGGAGTAATTTTTTAGCAACTCATTTGGAGTTGCTTGTGATTTTTGTCTATTTGTTATGGTGTCAATTGTTTTCCAAAGTAATTTTGGATTTTGTTTAGCTGCATTAAGTTGATTACTTTCATAGTTCCGTATTAGTTTTTTTAACAAATTGTTGCAGAAATTACGGTAGATACGTTTAAATGTGCTAATTATAATCTCATTATCGGGATATTTTTTTGCCTTTTTGTGCAAGTTATCCCTGTTGCGCATGCACTTCAAAAGACCGGGGGTAATCCAGGGCTTAATAATCATTCTTCTTTTCGAGGGACTAATTTGTCTCGAGTTCGACTTGATGGCTTGAGTAATAGATGCCATCAAAAAGCTTGCAGCAAAATTGACATCACACGAATTGAAGAGAGGACTTAAATCCATATTATAAAGGCTAAATGCGAGGCCCTCGTGGTCTATTTTAGTTAACGGCCTATTCACAATACAATCATGGTTTAATTTAGACGGTTTTATAATCAGTCAGTGATGTTTGGGCAACAAATGTGTGCGTATGAACCTTAGTTTTCAAAAGGACATGATCGAGGCAGTTATCTACTCGTGTTGCAAATGTGTGGGTGGGGAGCAGTGTTGCCAACTTAGTGGATATTCCACTAGATCTGGTGGTTTAGATATACGTTTTAGCGGGCGAATTTTGGTTTTAGTGGCTAGTGGATTTTTCTAGTGGTTTAGTTTGTTTCATTCAGTGGTATGCTACGACATTTAACCACTAGCACGAGTGATATCTTTACAGGAAAAGACGAAAACGTTTACCTTATCAAGGAATATTTTGTCATTATGTAGGCAACTCTGTAAAATTACGTTCGTTATTTTCGGGAATTTCCCGAAACAAGTTTATCAATTTCTTAAATTATTTTGATTATGGGCTTTATTCGTATGACTAATGGGTCAAATTTGATTTGAATTAATGAGATTTGTATGTGTTCGTTTCGTATGCATGCACAAAAATAGAAATACACAACACAGATACTTAGTAGTTTTGGTTATGCTATGCATCGGAGCGACCTTGTTTGTTTGCAAATGTTTAGTTTATTTTTAAAACAAAATGCCAAAACCGCAATATACGCAAAAGTTCCGGGATTGTTGGTTACGGGACTCCCAATTAAAGGACTGGCTGGAAGTGGTGGAAAGTACAGCTGGTGGAATTTTTGGTACGAGGTGCTGGATTTCGAAGACATTGCAGGAGAAAACCGATTTGAAGATTTAGCCACGTTTGCTATATCTTTTATTAGTTTTACCGCACTCTAATGCGTAGAGCGATTATTCAGCATTATGAATATCGTGAAGACAAAACACAGAAACCGAATGAAGCTAGATCTACTGTCATCTATTATGACAATCCGCGCAGGTTTAAAACGCGAAGGAAAGTGTTGCAATAATTACATCTTGCCAAATTATGTAGTCCAGAAAATAGGAACGAAAGAAATGTACTTAAAATCATAAGGTGCAGAGGAATCCGACTCTGCTGAAGATGATTTTTTAACGATTTTGTATGTCTTCTATAAGTTTTTTTGTAATGAAAATAAACGAATTTTATAATTCAATTTACAATATTGTTCTTTTATTGTCAAAAAATATATCCTAGCTGTATGCTATCCATCTAAAGTAAAGAGTGACATAGTCCATAGACTACTGTTTACTTCAGTAAAACATGTGTTTCCCGCGGTAAAAACAAAAAAATAGTGCTCGCCGGCTGCTTGCCTAACCCCCCCTTCTGCGGACATAAAAATCACATCGATCCAATATTTCCTTTTTCGGCGAGGGAAAAAAAGGATAAATAAACAAACACACTTACATTTATTTTATTAGTTAGTGTGGATTTTAGTGGTTTTCTGGTGGGTTGCGACGGCAAAATAGGTGGGTTCGTTAAAATTAAGTTGGCAAATCTGTGGGTGGGGAGCAACCCGTGATAGGCGCTATAATTGCTATAATTGTCTTATAGCTCGTGTATCATGTCAGTAAAATATTTAGTGATGATATAAAATTTGATTTATTGATATATGATGGAGAACGGTATATGCCATTATAATTATATTTGAGTCAATTTTAGCTACCAAGCAATTAGCATCCATGAACACCGGTTCCTCTATATGGGTAGGGATATAGTCCTTGATGTACATTACCACGCCATCGTTTTGTAGTAGGTTTGGTAGTAGTTTGGCAGTATATAATTTTTATGAATTATCGAAATGTCGCGTAGCAAATAAAAATCATAATTTCTATTTTATTTTACTAATATATTAATTCGCATGTCCACCGTTTTCATAGATATTACCAAATACTTGTATTACGAATCTTAAACTTAAAATTATTTGTGTAAATTTCAAGATTATATAATTAACATAAAAGTGGGGATTTTAACAATGAAAATAATAAAATGATTTGATTTCATTTATTTCAAAATTTCAGTCAGTTATAATTAATACAAAGTGATGTACTTCTCTCGTTTGAAGTTTTAGGTTTCAAAAAACCATAAAACGCCCTAAATAATTAAATAATATCTCACAAAAGAATGATTCTTATATAAATATCACAACCAACCCAAATAAATTGCAATGGATTAGTAAAAATTAAATAATTTATAAATTTTGTTCTAAAATAATTTGTATAATAGCCTCACTCAAACAATACACACATTTTGTGACCTTGATTAAAAATAATATAAAATTATTAACAGGTATAGGAACTTATTACGAATTACAACACCTCGAAAGTAACTTTTATGACTAAAAAAACTTCAAAATATAAAAATGTTCTGTCAAATAAACATGGACAACACCATTAATAGGCTCTATAGCATCACTGACATTAGATATATACTTAATGAATCATGGATCAAGAGATTGTGCATGAAATTTGAGTTATAAACAATTTGACATGCCTAATGGCAGATGGCAGTAACTTTAGTAACATACATATTTTTCATGTCGGCATAATGCATTTCATGTAGACAAATTTAATTGACAGACTAGGTATATAAAAACAAAATCTATCCATCTAATTCAATATATCTATTTCTAATAAGTCGAAAATGTCACAAACATGGTGGTGGTAGGGGCATAGCAATTAACTTACAAACTTCTAGAAGAAAATTCTTCAATATGGCAGCTTGATTATCCCTCGAACCATTTAATGTAACAGTTGGTATAAAAGTAGGTTTCAGTATATGTGTGTCATCTCCATACTTTTTCAGTAATTCTGAACCATGCGTAGTTCCAGCACAGTTGATTATTGGCTCCGGTTCAATATTCAGTTGTTTGGCACACTAAAATTTTTTTTTAAATATATTATGCAATAAATATAAAGCCTCTATTTACAACCATTATAAATATATATATTTTTTCTGAAATATCCAAGACCTAGAAACAAGGCCAAAAATTTGGACAACTCAGTTTTTACATGTATTTAACATAATATATCCCATTCATGCATTTCAAATAAATAATCTCTTAAATATGTATATAGGAGTTTACCAGTCCAATTTAATTTACACTTAGCTATTCAGACAGCAAAGTAATTAATAAATTATTGGTATGCATCTAATCAAAACAAAGATGATGATAACATAATATCAATTAATTTATTCTTATATTATTAGATAGGGTTTAGTAAGATTTTAGATAAGGTTTAATTCTTATAATTAAACCTAATGTTTTACATCCTAATTTGAAGTTTGTAATACTTTTATATATACCTTATGTAGAGCACCGTCAGCATCATAGTTATCTTCTATCATGCACACTGTTATCTTAACAGCTAATACTATATTGTTTAATATATCAATACTGCATGCATGTACTTTATTTGCATAGCATTCTTCTTCTTGATGTTGACACTTAAAATAGTACTGTCCATTTCTTTCAGTTGTCTATAGCAGAAAACATAAACTTTTAAAAAACAATATTTTTAAATGAATCTCAACTTCTAAGAAGTTCATAAAACAACTACATTTGTTACAATATATCTTTTAAACTTATATTGATAAATTTTAACAAAAAGTCTAAATATTTTTTTTCCACACTTACTAGTTTCAATAAAACTTTCTCTCAATTACACCTATTTTATTAATTATCCAGTGTAGTTTAGTACAATACTTACAGTTGCTTTACCATATGGTACCAATGTGACATCAAGAAAATCTGAAAGCTTTTCTGTCACTGGTCCTAAATGTCTCACGAAAAAATGCTTTGAATCAGGACACAATGTTTCATAATACACTCTTACTTTAACTTTATCTTGTTTATGTGTATTATAAGAATCATCTTCTAATTGTACAATATTACTCTGAAAATAAAATAGCATTATTAAAACCACAAATTCAAAATTATTGTGAATCATACAGATGACAAAACTTACCGCTGAAGTAGTGGTAGATTTTGTCAACATAAAATGTGAATAATTAGCATAAATCTGCCACATAATTAATATAACAAGAATAAGAACAATTATTCTATAACGACTACATAAATAAAATCCCATTGTCTATCAATATACTTTGATGTGTTCTTAATTATTACAATTAATTTAAAATAAGTCTTAGGTTAATACTCCATGTAATTTTTATCGCATCAATTGGTCTTAATTAGTACTATCTAATGCACATTTACTAAATTGTCGTACTACTTAGAAATTACTTCTCCTTTTATAGGTCTAAAGTTTAATTTCATGTAAAATTAAGTCCACTAAAGCACTAACACATCAAAGGTTTACAAAAAATTCAAGTGTCAAAGTCAGCAGTCAAATAGTGCTTTGACACTTAACACATGACACAGGGAGTTAGTAAATAATTTTTAAGAGTAAAACAAATAGTTGCCTGTAAAATTTGTTGACACACTGTAATTTTCATAAAAATTTAGTTTTCGACTTTCTTCATACACTACTGTTAACTGTTAAGCATCTTGGCTAAGCCCCGTCATTATGGTTATTGTTTCTATAAATTCTATTAAATTTTTAGCATTTAACATGACAACTTCAATCTACTTCCTAAAATAGAAATAGAAATTTCCGCATAATAGCTTAATAAAAACACATTCAATATATTGTATTTTTTTTATTCAGTCAATTGCAAGGCATTAAATTTCTCTACCATATAAAATCCCGCTTTAACTTGTCTACCTCCAAAGAATCGTCCATTCAAATCAACCACTGCTTTTATAGCACTCTCAATACGTTTAAACTCAACAAATATCCTCACAGCTTCATCTTGAGGTGAATTAGGCAATTCAAAGATAACAACTTTAATGACTTCTCCATATTTTGTGTTACATTCATCTTTAACTTCTGGTTCAAGCTCTTCATCGACATCGCCCGGCCCAACCATATTCTGTAACATATATAAATTTTCATAAATCATTATGAAAACTTTATTTTCATAACATACATTATTGTTGTGATGAAAAATATCTAGCATAAATAATAAAAAAAATCTAATATTATCAATAAAATCTTACTCTTAATAAAACAACTTTACTAGGTGATTTCATTATTTCTGTAATAGATGGCTCTTGCTTTGCTAGTTGAGTTGAATTTGGTGAATCTGAAATAGTTAGAACAGAATATTTCATGGAAGCCCATTATTTTAAACCCTAACACCTCAAAAACAATATTATAGCATAACTTTATCTCCAGCCAAAACCAGGATGTTGTTGTACCTGGTAACCAGAAACAGTCATATAACCAGGATTACATTTAAAATTGAGGAGAGGTTAAGGTATATATTAAGTCATTCCTACTGGGACATTGAGTAGACACATTTCTGTATCTTTTTCTTATTTAAATTATTACTTACCAGGTCCTGGCAGCGCAGGTAGGGCAAAACTAGGTGGTACTATAGCAGTGTCTTTTTCATGAATTATTCTCCCACCACGTTTTGATGTCTTTTCAACTTGTAGTGCCACTGACATTCCTTGTTCCTTTTTACCAAGACCTTGTCCTTCCTGTTAATGTATTGTATTTAAAAAGGAAGGTAATATATTATGATGAAATCTTAATTACAAATAAAACTTTATGGAATAATTACATATACAGTAATAGTAGTAATAGTTGTACCTACAGTATTTTTAATTAAAGTTGTGTTTGTTGTATACAAACAATTATGATAACTATTTACAGAACACATAAGGATTGAACTTTAATATAATTTAT